TGCGTCAACCCGGTTCCCATAACAGCAATACAAACAGGGACATGTCATACGACTGGGGTCTTTGGCGTGCGCAACAGCAAACTTAACAAACTTGGAAACACCATTCTCGTAGTCTTTCGACAATCGATTGGAATACATCTATGTCTTATCCATATCAACTAATTAGTGCACAAAACAGTAGTATACTGCGTTTCTGTCAAAACGCAAAGTATACACGGAATGAATCCGTATCAAGAAAATACAACATACGAACGACAATTTAAGACAAATTCATCACAATATATACCAGTAATTTGAGGAAGAAAGTTACCTCTCAGATGTTTCGAACTCTAAGAAACGCGGAGAATGAGCGTCGTACGTCGAACTAGGCCGGGAAACGCTGTAAATTCATAGAATGTTATTCAATATTTCGGATCGATTGTCGAAAGATATATACTATTTTAACATAAAGGTTCACAATAAATGTCACATATATATTTTCAATGTTTGGGAAAGCTATGACAATAATACAACACAAATATTAGAAATAGTGAATTCACAAAGTCAACATAAACCCACAAATATAATCCAAAACACAAACCATTTCAATGTTACCACCAAAATTATGTAGCATGCACCCGGAGAAATAAAACATACATCAACCCACAAATAAGAAACATATAAACAAAAAATAAGTAGAAAAAGGATAGTGTTAGATTTGTAAATACATAATTAAAAGATATTTGAAAAAAGGGAAATATACATAATTCTATATACATAATTCTATAAATACAAAGCATTACAAAAAAAGGAAATAACAATTATAACTAAAAGATATTTGAAAAGATGCCATGTAAGGGACTTTTATATCTATTTTCATATGTTTTTTTACCTTACAATCTCCTGAGGAATTTGATGACCAAACTAAAAAATGAATGTAATTCAAACTTACGGGAACAACTTTGTAACTTAAGTACATTCAAAGACTACAAGTGTCATTTGATGACCAAACTAAAAAAGTTGAAGGTAAAACTAATATGAACTGTGAAGGGTGTAGGGCCAAAGTCAAGAAAGTACTTAAAATTTAACTCATATTTTCAGTTTCTCTAATTATCATCTTTAAGAAGTTATAGAACCATTGTGTATCATCTTCAAAAGTTAGCCAAATTGGGTAAACATGCAAGAATATATAATGAATGACACGGGTGCGTTTAAAAATCGGTATATGGAATCAAGACAGGCCACATAACATCTTTGGAGTGTCATCAACTACAAACAATCCAGAGTAACCAATATTAAACATATTGTAGCACACCAAGTAAAATGTGCGTAAGTTTCTTCCTGTATCATAACGTTGGTGTTTTCCAACAAGAATCCAAACATATACTAACAGCATTATCTATCCCTAGAAATACTCAGATAATGGAAGAAGAAATCGGAACAGGCCAGAACATGCATAACTAAACGGTCAAATAACGGAACAGATAATGGAAGAAGAAGAAACTTACCAAGATGGACAAGAACGCAGTGAACGGCGGCGACGACTGAAGAAGAGGGAAGAACGACGGCAACGAAGGAAGACGAAGCAGCAGTGAACGAACGCAGCAATGGGATTCTGGAAACGCAACAATGGGACGAACACGAACAGGAACAGGAATGGAATGCAAGGAAGACGAACAGTAACGGCGACAAACAAACGAACAGGAACAGGAACGGCGGCAGGAATGAGAGAAACGAACGGTAACAGGAAGAAGAAATGAAGAAGACGAAGAAATGAACAAGTGAGGGAAATTTTCGTATTTAGGGATATTTAATTTAATTATAAAACAACCTACGAAAGCGCTTTTAAAAGCGCTTTCTAAGACCCATATATGAGAGCGTTTCTGAGGTAAAAAGCGCTTTCGTATGTCCCCCATATAAGAGCGCTTTAGAAAGCGCTTTCGTAGGTCCCCCTTTCAGAGCGCTTTTCAAAAGCGCTTTTATAGGGCCACCTATAAGAGCGCTTTTCAAAAGCGCTTTCGTAGGTTAGATATTTCAAATACCTATGAAAGTGCTTTCTGAAAAGCGCTTTCGTAGGAAACCCTATAAAAGCGCTTTTTTTAAGCGAATTTTTTTTAAAGGCTACGAAAGCGCTTTCTCTTAAAAGCGCTTTCGTAGATGCGCTGCCAAAAATTGTTTTTTCGTAGTGCATGCAAGCACAAGCAACCACTACATCAAACTTATTTGCCTATAAATACATACCATATGAAACATCTCTCACACCCACACAACTCTCACTCTCTGCTACGAAATATTTCATAAGTCTATCATACTCTCTATCTCTTCCCAAGTCTTTCATACTCTCAAGCATTCTAAACAATGGCTCTTTTAACAATGGGTGATACTCATAGAGGCACAAGGGAAAAACATTACTGCATTTGTAAGTCTCTTCTTTGGTTATACATTTTTCATACTTCAAATAACGCGTTGTTCATCTTAATTAATCTTACAACTGTTAAATTATGATCTCAGGACACAAAAAGATTCAGAATCCGTTCGCACAACTACCTGGCTCCCGACCCATTTATCGTCCCTTATCTGGAATATGCAGGTTTTGGACATGTGATAAAGATCTCCAACTGCACCATTGACTCAAAGTTCATTCTTGCAATGTTGGAAAGGTGGAGACCGGAGACCCATACATTTCACCTACCAATAGGTGAATGTACCATCACGCTCGAGGATGTGTACATGCTACTGGGCCTCCCTATCGACGGTAAGGCGGTGAACAGGTTGGTTCAACAACCCAACTCACAGTGTGAAGAACTATTGGGTAGGGATATGGTAGAAGGTGGTGGAGCAAGAGGGCAGGGAATACTACTCACTGACCTGAAACGTCATTATGCAAGTATGGATTTAAATGAAAATTCCTCAGAGAATGACCGAGTAGTAAAAGCCAGAACGTATCTTACGATACTTTTTGGTACATTTTTATTTCCCGAAAGTACGGGAAATAGTGTAAATTTTATGTACTTACATTTACTAACAAATTTTGAAAAAACTAGAAAATATAGTTGGGGTTCTGCAGTATTAGTCCACCTATACAGTTCCTTGTGCAAAAACGCAGTCAAGGAAAAATGTACATTTTATGGGTGCGTATTTTTACTACAAGCCTGGGGTTGGTGGAGGATGGAGTCCTTAAACCCCATCAACAACAACACTTTTGGTTTCCCGTACGCAACAAAGTAAGTCATTAAGTTATAGCATTTATAACTATTCTGCTCTTTCCAAAATATATGCTAAAAATAACATGTTTCTCATTTCCTTTAGGTACTGCGTGACGGGTATGGATTACGGAAAGAATCCAAGATTCAATGCCGCACTCTACCGGAATCTGTTGGATCACTTAGGCCCAGATGACGTACGTCGTAGCTTTTAACTTTTGTTCATTTTAATTATTTATACATTACTTTTGCGCTAACCTGATTTAAATTTTATCGTAGTTCGTCTGGAGACCATATTTGGGTTTGGGCCATGCTCCAAACCCGGAGGATGCAGCAACTTGGACTGCAAAGACTGCACTCATTCGGTTCAACATTGTGGAGATGCACCACAGCGACCGTGTGAAGATGTAGTTCGGAATGCATCAAGAGATACCAAGTGATCCAACAGATTTGTCCCCATGGCATTTTAAAAGGGTCGACGCCCAGTGGGGTCTTACCAACTGGAAAGACTTTGCTCCGGAATGGTGTAAGATGTGGCAGAGGCGTCACCGCTACGTCTTACAATTCCCGGTTTTCCTTACTCAAGGTAACATGCGACACACGGATCAATATATGTCGTGGTACAGATCGGTTAGTAACCCAGAAATGCACGTGTCTCATCCGAGATACTTGGTTGACCCACGCACACAATGATTACAACCCTCGATTCCCCATCAACAAACCCAAAACCCATCAACCTCCAACCAACCCCCAAGAAGAAACAGACCCACAAACACCCAACCACATTCCCCACCACAACACAACTACAATCAAATGCCGTACTACCAACCACAATCACCACCAAACTACCAATACCCTGATATGCCTCAAACCCAACCACAATACCAACCCCAATACCAGCACACCCACATACCCCAGACACAATTTCAGTCTTCCACATATCCCAATATGGCGCCCTCAACATCCAGCCTTCAACATGCAGCCTTAGCCCTGATATGGGAATGTCGGAAGATTATGACCAAGCCGACCAAACCTACCATCACCCACCATATCACCAAACCACCCAACATCCACAATACCAAACACCCTAAGATTCATTTCCTTTCTACCCCCCATACTCAGACGACCAATGCTACCGACCAACCATGGAACCCCACCCACCGCCAACACGACCAAACTTTGAGGGTATGGGTAACCGACTGTACTAGAGCGGATCTTCGAGATATGGAGATCTTACTGATTTTATGGATTCGGATCGCATTGACTTCGCTGGGCCATCGACCTTGCCGCAGCAGAAAACACGATGGCACCCAGCAAGAGAAAGGCGAGGACGGGGATGCGGAACCGGGGGTCATTACCGGGTTCCGGGGGATCACTGATGTATCTTTTTTTTTTCCAGTATTTTTGTATCCATTTTTTTTACTGTTCTTTTAATGTAATACAGTTGAATGTAATTATTTTTTTTTTAATAAAAAGTTCATTTTGTTGATCTCTGTCCAATAGGCAACGCACAGGAAAAAAAATTAAAAAAAAATTTTTTGCCCTAAAATTACACTTAGGCGCCATCTCACTTGGCTTATGGCATGTCCTAAGCACGTAGGCGCCAAGTGAGATGGTGCCTCCCTTAAAAAAGGAGGTGCATGCGCCAAGTGAGATGACTCCTCCTTTGTGGAGCCATCTGAAACATGGTTATTTGCGTAATTTTTTCCGAAATCCGATTATTTGCGAAATATTATTTTAATACATGGTTATTAATAAAAAAAATTCAAAATCCGTTTGTAAGAGGAAATAAAATAAACTAAAACAACTATAAATTAATTAATTAGTTTTAAAGCATGTCGAATCCATCAACAGGATGAGAAAAAGAAAAATGACCAACCACTCGTTGTGAGTGAAATCAAATGCAAAAGTATTGTTGTCAAGTACTTCACCATCTTCAGCATTTTCTGGTCGCTGATCAATGATTTTCGTGGTACCAGGATTAGACCCTCCTCCTCCGGCACCTGTGCTACCAAGATTACTTCTTTTTCTTTCAACTTGTCTTTTCTTTTTATCGTTAACGATGCATTTTCCGAGAAGAAACACTAAATATAATTCGCCTCTGTTTCAAAAGAAAAAATAAATATTCCTTCAGTAATTCAACTTTATAAATATATTTGATAATTAATATATATAGTCTATATATAAATTAGATATATTAATTATGAAATGTATAAAAAAATCAAATTTATTTATAAATTATTACAGAAAGATAGATAATAATAAATTAGTTTATAATATATCAGTTTATAGCTCTTAAATTATTTAATGTTTTTTTATACACATTTCGTGAATGATATGAAATAAGTTAATTAATTAAATATATAATATTTAGTATGGTTGAATTAACTATAAATATAAATATTAAATGATGCACAAATCTGTTCAATTTTATTTATTTTAATTAAGATGGTTAAAGTACATTTAATAAATTATAAACTATTTAAATTAGTTGATTAAAGAAATTCTATAAACCAGAAAATGCTAACGAGTGCTCTGGAGAGTTTTAAAAAGAATGTTTTAATTTAAAAATAGTTGTATTCAATATATTAGAAATTAAAACAATTGATTTTTCTAAATAATAAAAATATATTTTTCTTTAAAAAAACTCGTATTCAATGTAATATTTTCTTTATTTGAAATTCTTAAAAAATGTATCAGGGAACACTTGTTAGTATCACCCAATATAAGTTTATGAAAAAATAATAATCACAAATATTTCTAATTAATATTTATTTATTGTAATTAAGATAACTAAAGTACATTTAATAAATTATGAACTACTTAAATGACTCAATTAAAAAAAAACAATAAACTACAAAAAAATATAAGTTTGTGAAAAGATAATAATTACTAATCAATTTTTTAAACATATAAAATTATAAATTATAAGTTATAAATTCGGAATATAACTTTTTGAAATTAAAATTTAGAGAGACGATATTTCTTATTGAGAAATTAATCTCTTCAAAAAATTAATAAGATATTTATGTTTTTTTGTTAATTTTTTTATTCTTAACTATTTACTTAACTCTGTTTTTAAATTATAAATCACTATTATAATTTTAATATTAATATTAATGATATTTTGAATTTCTCTTCCTTTTTTTAGTAATTTAAATTTCTCTTTCATACGTTATTAGTTAAAGATAATATTTTAAAATTATATATAATTTATTTTTTCAAAAACATTAATTATTTCTCTTAATTAGTATTGATTTTCTAAACTTTAAAAAATTTGAGTCGGTAATATTATCTTACTCATAATAAATAATTAAAAGAAATAACAAACTGATGATTAATACTGTTTTAAATTTTGAAAATGATATATAGTAATGAACAAAAAAGTTCTGCAAAATATTCAATGTTTAATAAACCGAAGGAGCATATACTTACATGGTAATTATCACTAATTTTTTAGAGGTACAGTTGGAGGTTGGCAGCATTGGCATGTGGGTGAGACAACCTACGGCTACAGCAAGAGTCATGGGAAATATTACAAGTTTTTAAACTTGATTCTTCTCTCCTATTTATTTCTCCAAATACTGAAGCAGAAAGAAACTTTTGGTTGCAGTTACCAAATTTAGTGAGTCTGATCTATATTTGTGGAGGTTTGTTGAATGTTGTATATACAGAGAAAGAGGCGTATGAAAAGTCACCAAATATTGATGACAATTTAAACACGTCCTTGCGTTTGAAATGTTAACTTTGAACACTTCTCTCTATCTCTTTATATAAGTCAATAGTTAACATATGTGTTTGACTAAGGATGAAATGTTGAATTTTGGGTCATAAATATAATATTTAAGATGTTAGTGTTATTATTTTAATTAGTTAAAATTTAAAGGAGTTTAATTGTTTGTGCACAAGGTGATGATGAATAAAAGGAATATATATTTATGAAAGCAAAGAGAATGATCGGCTGTAAAAACTGCAAGAAGAATAATGTTGTTTTTTATGACATTTATAATTAGTCTATTTATACACACAAAAAAATGTCACATAAACTCTAATAAAATAGACTTAATAACTAAATTATCAAAAAACCATTAGAAATACTAAAATACCTTTTAATATCATCCCTTAATTTATGATTTCTAATTAAAACTAACTACACCAATTTCATCTCTTAAACAAAGAAATTGATCTGTCTTGATCGCCTTTGTCATAATATCTGACAGCTGCTTTTGGGTGCTACAGTGCACAACTTGCTTCTCCCATGTAGTACTGAATTCTTGACAAGATTGATTGCAGACTTGTTATCAATCATCAACATCAGAGGCTTATCTACCTTGACCTTTAGATTCTGCAATAGATTCAGAAGCCACACAACTTGACATGCAGCTACTGCACCTGCAATGTACTCAGTTTCACACGTTGTTAGAGCAACAATGGATTGCTTCTTGGAACACCAAGGAATGAAACCTCCCAGAAACTTAAACAAGTATATAGAAGTGATTCTTCTATCAACTCTATCTCCACACCAATCAGAATCAGAGTCACTCATCAGCTCTGAGTTTGTCTTTCTTGCAAAAGGGAATAATACTCCATATTTCAGAGTTTCCTTTATATACCTCAAAATCTTGACAGCGGCTTGGTAATGGGACCACTTAGGTTTACTCATGAACCTACTAGTCATTCCAACTGCATAGCAAATATCAGGTATGATATTACACAAATACCTTAGAGAACTAACCAACTGTTTGAAGGTTGTAGCATCCACATCTTCACCATCAGAGTCAGAATCCAATTTATGATTGGTTTTTGATGGTGTGACAACATATTTGCAATTCTGTAGTTTAAATCTCTTCAAAAGCTCAAGTTCATACTTTAGCTGATGCAAAATGATACCCTTCTCCGAGTACAGAATCTCCATCCCTAGAAAATATACCATATTTTTCATATCAGTCATCTCAAACTCATTCATCAACACCTTTTTTAACTTGATTATACTTTCTAGAAAGCTTCCCGTTAGCAATATGTCATCAACATAAAGACATACCAGAATCATATCGGCTCCAGAACATTGCACATAAACTTCATATTCCATCTCACACTTATGAAACCATTGCTTCTTGAAAAATGAATCAATCTTCAAATTTCAAGCTTAGGGAGCTTGCTTCAATCCATACAGAGCCTTATGTAACTTATACACCATCCCTTCCTGATTCTTTTTTGCAAATCCAGGAGGTTGTGACACGTATACTATAACACCCCATTTCTACACAACAGATTATATAAAATCAGAGTTACAAAATCTTCAACAAACAAATGGAATGCTACACTTTCAACTTAGAAACAAGGACATTTAATCGCTTATAGTTCAGATACATAACACATAAAATTCGGATGAACCGATAACAACCTGTTTAGTATTTAAAAATAAAACAACTTTCGTTGCTATGCAGGGGATTCAAAAATTCAAATGAAAACATCATAACATCTTGTCTAACTCAAAACGGATTTAAGACAGCAAGTATTTAATGAAAACAACTTAAAAATTCAGCAACATAATGAAAACCAACAATAAAGAAAACATGAGTTCATCCCCCGAGTGATACGTATCAGAGCGACGACACCAACTTGAACTATTGAAGGTAAACAATCTTCATTCTGGATTACCTGCATGTTACCAACATAGGGGCAACATTCAAATAGAAGGGGTGAGATATCAAATAATATAATTGGATGTATGATAAATAATATATTAGAATTAGATCATACAAAATCACCGCTTTATATCTTTTAAATGACATTCATTACAACCAAGTCATCAACATAATATCACAACCAATTCATCATCACAACAACAAAAGATGCAACATGAAATGCGACTTGTTACGATGCAAATGCATGTGGTGCCAACGAAGAAAAACTCCCAACTTAATAGTCTTCCAATTAATAGAGGCATCAACAAGGCATAAGCCTTCAACTTCAAATCTTGCCAATCCAGGCCAACATACCGAGCATTAGCTTCCAACTTGATATGTTATGTATGCGACAACAATATGAATGTAATAAAAATCAACAACAATTAATTAAACAATGATTCAACACAATTCAACACTGACCATAAGCCTACAACTTGATATTGCCAATAATGATATGCATTTCAACAAAAATCATCATCACCTACAAAGTCATGTATTACGAAAAATCATTCAATAAACGTTCTCGACCAAAATACATTACAAACGCTCCGCGAAATTATCCGGACAATTCTACCAAAACCGGCTAATTATTCTTCTGCTCAAATTACTAATATTTCTACTCTGTATTAATATTATTAAGACTATTCTGGTACTACTACTTTACAAGCTAGGCTACTTTTAATAACTTTCCTACTAGATTATTGTAGCGGTAGAAATGTTTAAGACTAAGCCATTGGATTGACTAGACTTATACAAATCAAATAAAAATCACCACCGCGCTTTATTGTTTCCAAAGGAATTGGAAAAGAGCGAATAACCCAAAAGAGGAGGGAAAGATTCAAGGTAAGGGGGTTAGTTATGTAAAAGGAAGGTATTAGCACCCTAAACATCTATGGTACTCCGCAGGAACCTCTTTGTAAAATCTGTATATTTTGGCTATAAAAAATGTTGTATAAAAATGGATGGTGGAGGTGATAAAAGAAATATATTTTTTATGATTTTTTCACCCGCCGCGGTTGCGAACCTTTAGTGCCTACGTACCATCTTCCGTGCAATAGGGGATCAGGGTACACGTAGTTCCTCTTTTAAAAATTTTAAAACACAAGTGTGTTGGTTAATTTTATGAGATAAGACATCATCATCATTGTTCTTATGGAAAACATACTTACTATCCACAATCATGAGAAAGGAGAATTTAAATCATCTCAAAGTGGAGGATATGGCTTGGATTTTAAAATCAACAATGCCTCACTCAACTCCCAAGTGGAAAATATCTCTCTTCACTATATATTATAGAAGTATAGTTGTTTGCATCACTACAAGGATTGACAAGAGTCCAATCTTTTTTGAGAAAAGTTTAAAGATGAAAGCCAAGGTGGCAAAATTATTTGAATGAGATTGATTGACTTTTAGTCTTCTCACAAAAAGGATGTCAAAGTATTATTAAGTTTATTGGAGTTTATTTATGAAAATGTTTGAAAATGCATGGACCTAAGTCTAAGTTTATTATGAAAGTGATTCAAGTTTAAAACAAGAAGAGTTTTCAAAAGGAGGGAGAAGACTTTTAAAATTAAAGAAGATGGGAGGCGAAGAAGAGGCTATCCTAAAACATAAGATAAAATCTAGGGATAAGAATCATCTAACCAACAAGAAGCCAATACTTGACACTATGAGCCAAGATAGAATTCTCATTCTTTGGATTGAAACCAAACAAGCAAAAATACTAGACCTCTTGAGAGAACCAAACTTCAAGTGTATTAAGTCTTCACAAAAATTGGGCAGGGTAACGGTTGTATACGGGTGAATTCCGGATTTCAAACAAAGGGTGTAATCACAATAACCTGCACACAAAACAAACAAACAACCCAATGTCTTGAGGTAAACCTCAAGAGCTGCAGACAAAATAATCAGATAAGATCACAAGGTCTCCAATCACAGGCCAAGGTTTCTAATCCTAAATCCAAAAAGTCCAATATTCCATAATGCCAAGGATATTAACCAAATAGTCCAAGTATCATTAAAAAATTAATGGGTTTGTGTTGATTATTAGGTGTCTTCAAAAGAAAAGAAAAGCTCAAGTGAGCAAAATAAAAATGACAAGAATATAAAGGGACTCAAGTGAGCAAAGATAAAAAATAGCATGAAATGTAAATGATAAAAGTAAATGGTGCATAAAGTAAAGAGCATAAAATAAAAACACAAAATAAAATAAATTATTAGTAATTAGTGGTTAGTTGGATGACCATCTTGAAACTTTCATTTGGAACTCATTAGAGGATTTGTAGAACCAAAGCCTCCATACAACAAGTTGCATTTGCTTTTTGTCAAGTATATCATCCATTTGGAATCCTCCAAAGTAACATTTAATGACCAACAATGTTTAAGTGATCCGCGTTGACCAAAGCTGTTGTAGATCCATTAGAGGATTGGTAGAACCAAAGCCTCCACACAATGAATCTCAAGGTTATTGGATCAAAGAGATTAAATTAACATACTTGGGCTTGTAAACATAAGTTTGGGCCATGAATGATCATTTATTCGAATCGGAGGAAAATTTAGCGCTATGTTAAGCAATCGTAAGTGGACTTATATAGAAGTCGCACCTATTTTGAGGTCGGTCAATAGCAATCTATGCACCATTTGTTTTGAGACATGATATAGAGATTATGCTCCAACAACATTTAGTGCAATAAGAAAGGGATGAGATGAAGAGGGGTGGGAGAGAATATACAAACCACTTTTGGATTAAATTTAATCAAACTATTATTAAAATTATTCATCAATTTTTGTAGAGTTAGACTCAACACCATGGATCCAATGATGTTAATAAAGTTTAT